GGTGAGGAAAATTATTACATTATATATAGGATTATTTCATTTACAGGCTAATTTGAATGTATTTGAATTTTACAAGCAGTTTTTTTTTTTTTTTGATTTTAAAAATTATTTCAGCTGTTTCAATTTAATTGATTGAATTTGAATAAAAAAATACTTGACTTGAAAGGGTTCAGATATTCATTTGCAATGTTTTGTGAGGTTTTGTTCCAAATTTTAATGGATTAATTGCCAAAAGATTTTCCAAAGTAAAATCAAGGAAGTGACCTACCATAACTATGAAGCTGACCCCAGTGGGAAATGTGTCCTCTGAATTTGTCCCTAACTATGTAGGGGCAGTGATAGCCATGCTAGTCCGGGGGTCTGACCGCAGAAAGGTGCCTTGGTCAAGGTCAATGACCGGGGTACCTGATATTTAACAACAATACCATGCATATCGCCCTAGGTTAATAGACTATATTGATTAGGCTATGTATGCTTCCAAAAAAAAAAAGAATCCACCATCCCTCTTATTTTTTTTTTACAACTTGACTACTGCACATAAGTATATCCTTAAAATGATTTTGTAGAAAACCTCTCCTACCATGTCGAACAGCGGATTCTACTATTGACCTCTATGGCGTCAAACTACGTGTTGTGTAATTTTATCAGCAGATTATGAGTATATAATAACTTGAACTGGGTGTTATAGTAACTTAATATATAATTCAAATTAAGGATAAAACAATGATTGTTAAGTAAATGATTATAACTGAGAATTTGCTCAATTACCAGGTGTTATTCGTGGCTTACCTTTGTGACTGCAAGTTTTGGACCGGCTGTTAAATTCCAAGTTGTCTCTTAACATAAGTATATATCAATAACTTTGTTTATAAATTATGCTGAGTTATTAATCATTAGCCACAAGGAAAAAAAATCTCTGTCTATTTAAGTTGTTAACTCAAAGTACACTCAGCTGTTACAAACGGTCACTACTGTATTAAGCCAGAACACACTGAATCTGATTGTTTGTCTGATTTGACAGAAAATTGTATTGCACTGTTTAGCTCTCATTGAAGGTCAGTGGGGGATGATCACACCGGACACGTCTTTATGCGATGGGGTTGCGTAGATCAGACTGAAATAGCTCCCAGGTGTATTTAAGTCTGACTACGCAGCAATTCAACTGCAATTTCATGTGTCTGAAAGGAAGAGAGACGCGGTTACACAGTAAAACATATCTGGTTTGGGAGAAAATATAAAATAAAATCTGTTAATCGCATGAGGAAAGAGCCTTTTTTGGAGTTGCACATCACGTATATAGCAAGCAGAACAGACTCATGCAAAAACAATTAATGTAACATTAAAAAGAAAATTTTACCCATGATAAGAGTTCAGCAGGACAGAAAAAGGATAGTGATCCTCTTTGAGCCTCGCAAAAACAACGAGGGACAGAAACCACATCAATCTCCTTTGAGTGTCGCAACAAACAACAGAACAATGAGAGGCACCTCTTTATGGAAAAAAGGAAGAAAAACTTTGATAAAATTCCCAGATCTCTCCCTGAGAATCACATCTTACTGCCTCAGTCAACATAGAAACTGTCCCACAGTGTTTATTGCTGTGTTTTTTCTTTCATTTAGACAAACGTAGACCTCATTACTTTTTTAGCATAGGCATATGAACATTCTCTATCTGTTCTGGTTTGAGATGCTGTATAAGTGGGGCTTTGCTTTATTTAATGTGCCGATGATTTTTTTTATTATTCTTTTTATAACTTTTCATGACCTGTCCAAGTCAAAAGTGGGAAACTTTTTCAATTTGTGTATATGTGATCGATTGTTTCTTATTTCATATATTGAGTTATGCTATTTATCAACTGAAATGTTTTTACTCAGTCTGTTTCACCTGCACGGCCACAACATGTCTGTGAGGAGTGTTTGCATATTATTCCCATAACAAGTCAGATTCTTTCTCAAGGTTTGTTACTGTTTAACCAAAGTGTCTGTGTTATGTTTTCACTCTGACACAACCTTCACATCATTTCTATCATTATAAGTAAGGGAGACAAACTCTGTCTAGAGCAGAACAGAGCAGATCATCAAATTTGTGTGAGATTGTGGATGTCTTGTTCTCCATTTACTTAGCAAAGTAAATAAAGTGCCTACTGAGTAAATCTCTGTTTATTTTACTGGAGAGTAGTTGAATACTTTTTTTCACACGTCAATTTGGCGTTGTTGGCAGGGTGTCCTCGATTGTTTCTGGGAGCAGTGATGACAGAAGTGTCTGAAAAACCTAGACTTAATTCCTGGCCTCAACCCAAATAGATGGAGGATAGAGGACTTCTTATTTAATGTTTCCAGGTGTCAGCAGGAGATTACGAACTGATGTTTTTGAGACGGTCAGAAATCTTCAGTCGGCATGGCTCAACTATTTTTGATTTCAAATTAATTTCTACTGGGGACAAAGGTACAAAGATTTGCTTTTTTTCCACTTGAGAACAAAAAAACATACTCAGGGGTAATTCATGGAGGGCTTTTTCAAAATACTGAGAGGAAGGTTTTAAACATCACCAGAAGATATTTGATGAGACATCAGTAATCTAGGGTGGGATCCCCCCTTTTATCCATAATCAATACTTGAAACATCTGGAAAAAAAGAACTCCCTACCACTAACCATTGATTTTTAATGGAGACAGCAGTAAAAATATTCTGTGCAGATCTGGCCACCCCAAGTTGGAGCCTCTCTACACAGTCAATGTGACATAGAGATTAAAAAGTCGTATGCAGCTGGTCTGTTCTGGCCTTAAATAATCAGAGACAACCAGAATCAAAACAAAAAAGGATGCTTTTATTAAACCTAATTATCTCTGTCACATTAATATTATTTTGAATAAACTATGCAAACACTACAAGCTACTGGAATAAAGATAGAATACATCAAATAATAGTCAACATAAAATAGTAGTCCCTCAGTTTAGCAATATAGATGGTCTCTAACAAACAGATGTGTGAAAGGAGTCTTTGGTAACGTTCAACTCAGTCAGGTTTTACTTAAGCCACAGCTACCAATAAACACAATGCAGTCAATGTGACAGCACTGAAATGTTTATGAAAACAAGTTGCACTGTGGGTCCATAAACCCAGCTTTCTTCCATTAGATGGCAGACAAACAGGCGCATTTGAGTGAGAGCGTGTATAACAAGTGAAGTCGGATTGGAAGAACATGCAAGGGTAAAACAATGATGGCAAAAACACAACATTATGAAGATGGGACCAACAGCTGTAACAACAAAAACACATTTGGAATGTTTTTTCCTAAACCTCAGCAAAAATAGTTCAGGAGCTCCTTTTTAATAAACAAATCAGTATTTAGCCACTAATTCTACTCACTCTGGCAAGCTACCCATTAAAAAATATAGATTTTCTTAACTTATTGATGTCCAATGGGAGGGGAAGGACTGGATTTTAGTCTGGTTTTAGTTGTGAGCAGCTGTATCGTCCATGTCCGCCTCAGCAACTCAGGAAACTCAGAGTAAGTCTATATAGCAGAGGTAATAATTGAGAAATTTTAAACTTTTCGGATAACTTAAGGAGCTATAAGATTTTCTGCCCTATTATGGTTAGTGGTGGAGACAGTCTCAGCTTGGCAGGTTCATGGGATGAGAACCAGCACAGGAAGGCAGGCAGTGATTCAGTGGTCCGTGGATCAGAACCATTCAAAGTGCTGAAGGGACAATATGGGAGAAGGTAAAAAGGGTTATTTTGGTTGTTTTAAATGTACCAATACTTGAGGATATTATGTCAGAGTGATGGGCTTTGTCAAAACACATCAGATGCACTGATATGGAAGTTGTAGGCTAGTTTTGATCCGTGACACTGACAATGACAATTTAAGACATTATTCACCAAACAAGGGCTTCAAAACAGCTTCACTACAATGTCTCATTGTAGTTACCAGCTGGTTCCTACACTGTGGGAAGGGGGCATCCCATTTTCAACCAGTGTTGGAAGCCAGTCACACCAATCAGGTCTTCTGGAACAGATCACCGGAGATGATCTTACAACTGTTTAATATGGTGGAGGTCACGAGTGAAGAGAGGTCAATTCATCGGCTCCGCTGGCAAATTCTGTTGGTAGCTTCCGATACAGTATACCCTATTTTGTGGAGGGGTGGGGACATTTTGGCAGAATTTTTCTCTAAAGGTGCAGATATGAAATGGTTTCTTTAATTTTTTTCTTTAGCTGTATCTGACAGTCAAAATTCAGAGGTTCCCCTATTGCATGAGATCAGACAAACATTGCACACTTGAGGGACAGAATGACCACTGTAGCAGTGTGAATCCTAATAGTGGATGCAAGTCAGTGATGTGATTAACAGCACCTTAGGTACCAGAAGCTGAAAACAAATAGGGAAAATAACAATAAGCAGAATTATTCCATTTATTTATTTATTTTCATATGCAAAAAAAACCCAACTACTCACCTCAACTCACTGAAATAAAGATTTGGGGAAGCACCATTGTTATTTAAAACAAAACCGGAATAAAAAATCAACCAGATAAAACTTTCTCTTTTATTGTATTTAGCTTACCTACTGATCATGTTTAGTTTTGTCCAAATGGTTCTTGCTTGTTTTTTGAGTCACATACATACTATCAGGAAACAGCATATAAGCTAAATGTCATGAAGAGTTTATATTTGCATTATTCTGAGGGTTTACTAGATACATAAGTAAACCGGAAGTTTAATAATTTATATTCTCATATTTGCTGCTTGTCTTTGGAATAAGAAAAGGAAACAAATTCCCTTAAAGGGTGCTGGATTGGCTTTTAATAAAGAATTGTTTACTCACCTTCAGCACATTCGAATGCAGTGAAATTGGAACTGAAAGCAAATAATGTGATATCTGCCAGGTTCTGCTCATACCATCATGCTTAAACCCACTGGGTTTCTGCTAAAGATGAAAAGTATTAATTGTAATCCCAGTTTTCAGATCACTCTTCTTTTTCTTTCTCCTCTAGTGGTCGTGTTATATGTGCAGGGTGTGGGAACCAAAGAATGGAGAGAGGTAAGTTCAGAAACCTAACATCATTATCTACTTTCACTTTGTATGTGTGAAATAATGTAAAATAGGTGGTTTATTAAAAACGAATTTCAGAGAAAACCCTTTCAACTAAAAGCTTTCTAAATTTAACCAGAAGGAAATTTACCTAACCCCTCCTAGTGAGTTAAAATGAAGTTTTAAGGAATGCTTAACAAAACCATTTTATCAAACCATAAAAACTACTCCCAATACTAAAGACACATTTTTGCAGTCTGATCAATAAATGTTATTTTGTCTTGTAGTTGTTTGTTGCCAGGTACTGTATTTGATTGAGGTTCATATCTGGTTGGTTTATGTCTTTGTGTTTTCTACACTATCTGTTGATGCTTCACATGTTTATGTCTCGGCTCAGTTTCAACAAAATAGAGTTTAGCAGCTAAATGTTAATCTGTCAACCCTTGTTCTAATTGACCTGTATCACAGATGGTGTCCATGGTGGGGTCTCTTTGTAATACAAGTCAGCTTGTGGAGATATTTATTAGGATGGTAATGTAGCCCAATGGCCAATTCTGCTACCTTCACCAGTAGTTTTAAACCTTAAAATTCTTCTTACTGCAGTTGGAGAACCACACCATTATACATTCACAAAATGGTAAAAAGCTTTCTATGGGCACTCAATAAAAGTTAGTCAGCAACAGCTTAAGCTCTCTGAGAAATTAAAGTCTTGTTGAGCCTTTCTTGCCTGATGAGAGATGTTAGCTGTCCAGGTAAGATCATTTTAAAATCTTGACACCACTGAAATTAAAGGTCTTTACTCTCTCTACCTCCTCCTTAGACGGTAGAGTTCTAGGTGTGCTTTGATGTTCTGAAGTCCAATATTAGGTTCAGTCCTCAGTTTTTATCTGTTCAGTACCAAGTTGTTGTGTCTCTGTTTACACCATTCTATCAGCTGCTCAGCCTTTTCCTTGCATGCCGTCCTATTATGATCTGAAATCAGTTATATTATAGAATGTCACCTGGACATTTTACCATGATGTGGGTGGGGTGGGTGGAGTAGCAGTCATGGATACAGGGGACTGAGGCCCCTGTGGAGTGGCAATCTTTAATAAAAGGGCAAATGTGAGTCCTCTCATCCTATTTCTAGGGAAGTCCAAGGTCTACCTGAACGGCATACAGCCAGATTGTACAGTTTTTCATCCAGATTCGGGGATACATGTATTGAAATTTGAACTGAAATCCTCAAGCAGCATTCTTTCATAGGTGTTTTTTTCAGGTCCAAATGATTGAAAAGAGGGTTTAATGACTGGATCATCTGGTAAAAATTCCTTTACATAATATGCAAACTAGTATTTGATAATATTGGCAATGATACCTGTCTTTATCTGAGACAAGACAAGTCTCTCAGGGCATAGCCTGTAAGGCAGTGCACTATTTATACTGCAACATTTGTAGAAGTCTTAAGGTAGGTTTAAACAACAGATCCCAACAGCGAGAGGTTAAAAATAGTGGTGAACACCTCTGCCAACTGGTCTGTGCATGCCTTACTTATCTTCCTGGTAACACCACCATCTGTAAAGATGGTTCAAAGACGATATTGGTTCAGTTGCACTGAGTCATTCTTCTCTGGAAGTGCAGGTTGGGTAATGGTATTCATGTTTTGGTGATTGAAATGGGAAAATAACAGGTTCTACATGTCTGGTAAGCTTACATCAGTAACGAGTGTAACGTTTTTGCTGTTGTTGTAGATGCTGAGAGCCTTTATCCCCTACCACATGCACCAGGGGTCCTAGTTGCTACATTGTTCTTCTATACCCTGCTTGTCCTTGTGCTTAGATTACCTGATGCCATTCCCTAATTCTCTTTGTGCTGCTCTCTACTTCTGCAGATTGTGCGATTTGATTGCAGAGTCCTGTGTGAAGTAGGATCTTCACCCTACTGTCGAACCATAGATTCTATATGGGAAATATTTATTTGTTTTAGTTTCAACCACAGTATCAATGGAGGAGTCTCAAAAAAGTATAAATAAGAGCTCATTCTCTTGCAGAAATACAAACATCAGTCTTGTAGGGCTTCCTTAGTTTGCATACTGTACTCACTGTCTTTACAGGTAGTCTATGTCTGCAGGGTAGTGATTTATATTAAAGAGGCAGGGACAAATGTGGGACAGGATTGGTTTTGTATGCATGTGAAATGTTACAGTATACAAACGTTTTCTTTTCTCTTGTCAGGAAGTGCAAGAGTTTTTAGAATTTAGACAGAACAGAACTCAGGTTTGCATCATTAAAGAGGGAGATCATTAACTGCTGATCTTCTCCTTTAAGTTACCTCACACCTCTAGGAAGGTCCTAATCAGAGACACGATTAAAACTGTGCTGCAATTAGTCAAGTAAACAACTTGTCACCTGCTGTACACAGAGTGACACCGGAGCAGATAATCTTGCAATTCCCGTAAGATTCGAGGTCCAAGGTTGTGGAGACAAAGGTTATAGGTGGAACCTATAACTTTTTTGTAAAAGTTTTGGAAGGACATCTTCTGTTTTAAACTTTAGTTTTTTTCCTTTTATGTCCACATATGTATACTTAAAGGAATAGTACACCCAAAACATGATTAGCCTTCATTTTCTACTCACCCCCATGCTGAACAACACTCTGGAGTACTTTTTTGATATCTCAAATGCATCTGGAGATCTGGGAGGCTTCTTGCTGTCTGCTGACATTCAAATAATGGAGGTGTACGGTGCCCGAGACAGAAAGGTCCATAAAAGTCCACAAAAAACGTGTCAATATTCCTCCATACTGCTCGTCCAATGTATTCCAAGTGTCCTGAGTGGGTAGCATCCAGAATTTACTCGAAACAAAGTCATTTAGAATGTTTTTAGAGCATAAACAGCAGTGTATAGTATTTCCTGAAAGCGCGCACATGCGCGTTCAGGACGCTACGGAAGCCGGCGACCAAACTAGATGAAAGTGCGCATTCAGCGTCTGCTCTGCCGATGCAAGCGTAGAAGAAGAAATGTGCTGTTTACCTGTGCAAAGAAAGAAACAACGAAAGAAAAATGTCTGAGGACTTCAGTGTTGAGGAAGAGCAGGAGTTCTTTGCCGAGCTGAATGCTCACTTTCGTCTGGGTTGGTCTGCCGCGGTTTCCGTAGCGCTGTGAACGCGCTTTTAGGAAATACTATACACTACTGTTTATGCTCTAAAAACATTCTAAATGACTTCGTTTCGAGTAAATTCTGGATGCTACCCACTCAGGACACTTGGAATACATTGGACGAGCAGTATGGAGGAATATTGACACGTTTTTGTGGACTTTTATGGGCCTTTCTGTCTCGGGCACAATAGACCTCCATTATTTGAATGTCAGCAGACAGCAAGAAGCCTCCCAGATCTCCAGATGCATTTGAGATGTCAAAAAAGTACTCCAGAGTGTTGTTCAGCATGGGGGTGAGTAGAAAATGAAGGCTAATCATGTTTTGGGTGTACTATTCCTTTAATGTCACACTGTTCCAAAAAAGTAAAAAAAAACAACAGAAAAAAACAATCCTCTAGAGTTTGTTTCCAAGTTTGAAGACGTGTGTCATTATTTAAGGTTCTGACCCAAAATGCAGAGAACCACTCAGAGAGCAAGGCAAAGGTTTAACAGGTTTATTGCGGTAAGGGTTGAGGGGTTGGATCTGGTACTCAGAGGGCTGGTGAACCGGAACTGGAAGGGAGGAGGGAAGTTCACAGAGGTGGGTTCAGGTACCGTGGAAATCTTGGATGCCATTAGCATTATGCTAGTGAGGGACTCATGTTTGGGGGGGTTCTTCTCTCGCTTCAAATCCAGTCAGTATGGGTTGATCTAGTGAAGAGGGGACTTGTTGGAGAGCGGACAGGTAGACTTTCTTTGGACCCAGAGGAGTATGAGAGAGGACTGTTACTTGGAAATCCAGGAGGACTTGAACGGAACTTGTGGAGGTTAATCCATGATGACTTCCTGCCGAAAAGGCGAAGACAAAAAACAAGGTTAGGCTCAGTGAAACAAAGACTCAGTTATTCTCAGCTAAACTCAGCTTGGGTAGAGTACCCGTCGAGGTAGTGACAGTCCACTGCTTAAATACTCCTCCAGATAATGATCCAATGAGCCGCAGGTGTGCAGGGAGGCCCAACGAGGATGGGGCACCACCTGGTTGTGTAGAAAAAGAAACAAAAACAGACCACACAAACTAGATTCCTGACATATGGAACCTTAAACATTGTGTTTATAGTTGTAAAACTTTTTGTTCTTCTTTGTAAAAAGTTTCGTAATGGTTCATAATTCAAAAATAAATCTTTCTCTTATAATTTTGTCTTAAATATCCAAATTATATTTTAATTACTACATTAATAAAACATACAATACATTTTATATGTCCTTGCCTTTTAAGCTTTATGTTAAACCCCTTTCTTTTTTGATAAATCAAAAGCTAAGCAGGCAGAACACTAGGGGGTGCTACAAACTACAAGCTAATAACTGTCCATCCATCCGTCCATCCGTCCGTCCGTCTTCTTAAGCTTATCCGTGGTTGGGTTGTGGGGGCAGCAGCTTCAGTAGGGTGGCCCAGATGTCTCCCAAGTCACTTGTACCAACTCCTCCGGGGGAATCCCAAGGTGTTCCCAGGCCAGCCGAGAAACATAGTCTCTCCAGCATATCCTGGGTCTCCCTCTGTGTCTCCTCCCAGTAATAACCCTGATTAAAGTAATTTAAAACAATGGCACGCTTCCTGTTTAGTGATAACAGAAAGAAACGTTTGTGTCCAGAAACAATCATAAGTGTATTCACTATTTAATTTACTGATGTCACACACTTCCTGGTGAGATAAACCAAAGTATCACAAATGGGGCATGGCCAGGAGCAGATTTGCTAAGGAGGACTTGGATGTTTTATATTAGTATGTCCAGTTTTTTTCATCTTAGTCAACATTCTTTTCTCAATGTAGTTTTAGAAGAAAATGGTATATCTATACAAAAACCTTTTGTTTTGAATCACTTTATCAATTGATAT